CGCCATAAATAACCCGCAGCCGGCTTTACCTGCATATTATATATAGGCTTTTAATCACGGAGGGAGGAAATCGCTCTTGTCACTCAGTGCATTTATCACGGACAGCCCGCGGCAGCCGCCGGTGCCTTTATCAAACACCGACTGCCTGCCCGAGGCGTCACAACACGCTGGGAAGCCGCGATTAAAGGACAGCAATGATCAACGTTATTACGGCAGCGGTCCTGCGGCATTTCTCTTATTTGTCCAGTCAATCGGGGATTTATTTAATCAGGAATATAAAAAGCCCTTTCTTTACTTCATTTGGCAACAATCGTTTGGCTTTGAATTTTTTTTTTTTTTTTTTTTTTTTTGCAAGACATTAACGTTAATCAGAGCCGGGCCCCGATTTTTTTTTTTTTTTTGGTTGAAAAATGAACTGTTGTTGATGGAGGGAGAACGGGAATGTTACAGGGTTAAATAACAACACGCTCTCCGCTCGATTTCGTACAGAAATATATAACTAAATATATATAAATATATAGGTAAATATATAAATAAATATATATGTCTATAGTAAATACATGAATAAAAAACTAGCGAAGGTGTCTCAGAGGCACGGCTCCAGCCGCGTGTCTATATTTACGAGTCAAATAAGGATCCCCGTCAGAAGAGTTGACACAAAGTGTTGTTTTAGTGTCAGATGTGGAGAAAATATATATTTGGTTTTTGTTTTTTTTGTTGTTTTTTTTGTGTCAAATAGATGCAGATAAGCAGGTGTGATGGAAGCACGGGCTCTGAGCCTCGTTATTGTCCTTTAAATCCTGGCGCATCTGCAGCTCTGAGGCCCTTTTCTTTACTAAATCTTCTTCCCTCGGTTTAACACTTCCTTAGTCTCTCTCTCTCTCTCTCTCTCACACACTCACACACACAAACACGGTCGTCTGAGGACTCGGGGTGAGTCCAAGTCTTTGAGAAACAGGAACAGTGGATTTTTATTTTTTTTTAAAGCTTTACAACAACAGTCACACATGGATATTAATATCATGATATATTTATTCAATATATTTGATTTTAAATTTTTTAAATCTGTTGAAATAAAAATAAAAACTCCATCACTGATATGTTATATATATATATTTTACACTAAATACATTTCCACCTTCAATTCATGCACAGTCCGGTTCCGTCCACTTGCCCCCCCCCC